CAACTCCTCAGACACCATCTTTAAACTATGAGTGCTGCCGTCTGTCCAGGCGGCCTGCGGCAGCTCAGATCTCAACAACAATGCCGCCATCAGAGAGTTTCGTCTTTTCGTCTGTGATAAATCCAAAGGTCAAAGATTTCTCGTCGACTCAGGATCTGTGATATCAATAGTCCCTCGATCCTGGAGTCGTCATACAACTTCACCATCAGATCTCCAGCTGTTCGCCGCAAATAACACAGTCATTGACACGTATGGCCAACAGCTGCTCACTCTAAACATTGGACTTCGCCGCGACTTTAGGTCGAATTTCACTGTCGCCAACGTCAAAGTTCCCATCATCGGCGCAGATTTACTCACGCATTATGGTCTGCTCATCGATTTGAAAAACAAACGTCTGATCAATCCCACAACAAAGCTCTCACAACACCCGGACAAATCCAAGAGACCAGAATCTTCAGTCTCTCCACCATCACCACTGACAGTTCCACGCTCTCTCCAAGCATCCAGCAGCTCCTCATGATGTTCGTGGAGGTCACGAAGCCTCCTGCAGCACCCAGAACTCAGCTAGACAGCCCAGTGGCTCATCACATCGTCACTACTGGTCCACCAGTCGCTGAGCGCCCCAGACGCCTGGCTGGAGACAAACTGCAAGTAGCACGCGATGACATCCAGTCTCTGCTGCACTGTGAAGTCGTCAGGCCCTCTAGCAGCCAATGGGCAAGCCCTATCCACATGGTGTCTAAGAAACAGGGTGGCTGGCGTTCAACTGGAGACTATCGTGGTCTCAACCAGCGCACACTACCCGACCGCTACCCTCTGCCCATCATTGAGGATGTCTTGCGGCGTTGTCACGGCCGCGAGGTTTTCACAACCCTTGACCTCGTGCGTGCCTACCATCATATTCCAATGGCCCAGGAAGACATCGCGCAGACGGCCGTCACAATACTCTTCGGCCTTTTCGAATTCCTCGGCATGCCTCCAGGACTGCGCAACGCTGCGCAAACGTTCCAGCGTCACATGGACAATCTTCTGAGAGACTTAGACTTCGCAGCGTGTTACATCGATGACCTCATCGTATTCTCCAGGACCCCTGAAGAGCACCTGCAACACCTTGAGATCGTTTTTAAGCCCCTCCAGGATAATCACCTCAGCATCAACGTCAGCAAGTGCCAATTCGGCAAGGACGAAGTGGTCTACCTGGGCTACAAACTCAATCGTCACGGTTTCTCACCACCGGAGAGTAAAGTCCAAGCCATTGTTGAGTTCCCGAACCCTGAGACTGTCACTGAGCTTCGCAGATTCCTCGGTATGCTCAATTATTATCGACAATGCCTTCCACACGCAGCACATCAACAGGCTCTGCTCAACGACTTCATCAAGGAGTCCAAGAAAAATGACAAGCGGAAGATTCCATGGACCCCAGAGGCAGAAGCAGCCCTTAATCAGTGTAAGGAGAAGATCGCCAACGCAGCTCGAGTCAGTTTCCTCTCTCCAACAGCACCTCTTGGACTCTCCATTGACGCCTCAGACTCTGCTATTGGAGCAGCGTTGGAGCAGTTGGACAATAACACCTGGAAACCACTTGGTTTCTTCTCTCGCAAGCTCAGCCCGACAGAATCTCAATACAGCACCTATGATTGAGAGCTTCTAGCAATTTTTTCTGCCATCAAATTCTTCAGACACATCCTGGAAGGTCGTCCGTTCATCATCAAGACCGACCATCGTCCTCTGGTTTATACCTTCTCGCAACGCCCTGAGAAAGCATCTCCACGACAGGTAAATCAACTGGACTACATCTCACAGTTTACCACAGAGATTGTCTACGTCAAGGGTGAAGAAAACGTCGTGGCGGACGCACTCTCACGCATCAACGCCATCGACATGCCCAAAGTTCTGAGCTCTGAGGCCATCCAGCTTGCCCAGGAGTCCGAAGAAGAGCTCCAGACCCTGATCGACTCTGAAAATTCATCCCACAAGCTTCAACGGTTGGTAGTAGAGGACCACCCAATTTTCTGCGACACTTCTACGGGCCGGGTACGCCCATACATTCCCGCTAGCCTCCGAAGATAAGCGTTCGACGTCATCCACTCTCTCGCACATCCCAGCAGCCGAGTGACAACACGCCATCTGAGAGAGAAGTACATCTGGCCCGGAATCAAACGTGATGCAACACGTTGGTGTCGAGAGTGCATCCCTTGCCAGAGATCCAAAATTCAACGGCACAACCCCATCGAGCCTGCCCATATCAACATCCCTGACAACCGATTCGAGCATGTCCACCTGGACATCATTGAGCTACCTCCAGTGAAAGGCCTACGCTCCTGTCTCACCATGATAGACAGGTTCACTCGATGGCCTGTTGCTGTCCCTCTCACCAACATCGAGGCAGATACCATCGCCGACGCCTTTTGGTTCATTGGGTTGCCCAGTTTGGTACCCCGCTGCGCATCACGACCGATCAAGGCTCACAATTCGAGTCCAGACTATTCTCAGCCCTAGCAAAAATGGTTGGAGCAGAAAAGATCCACACCACGCCGTAGCACCCTCAGTCCAACGGGATGGTTGAACATTGGCACCGTACAGTAAAAGCTGCTCTCATGTGCAACGCCCCAACACCATGGCCAGAGCTCTTGCCATCAGTCATGCTCGGACTTCGTACTGCGTTCAAGGAGGACCTGAGAGCCTCTCCAGCGCAACTTCTGTATGGGACAGAGCTACGAATTCCTAGAGAATTTTTCGTCTCTGACAGCCTCCCCGCAGATCCAAACTTCTTCCTCGAGAAACTCCGAGACCACATGAGACGAATAAGACCCACCACAACCGCCCATCACACTAAAGCACGGTTCTTCATCCTCAAGGACCTATACAGCTGCAGCCACGTTTTCATCCGTGTCGACGCGGTTAAAAAAACCCTCGACCCACCCTACACCGGACCACACGAAGTCGTCAACCGAGTCGATGACAGAGTTTTTGTCGTCAGGGTCAACGGGCACGACAAAGCAATCTCGGTTGGCAGACTCAAACCTGCTTTCGTGGCAAAGACGGATTCAGACCAACCCTCGGAGCAGCAACAAACCCTAGAACACTCATTGCAGCAACAAACCCTACAAGAGCCTTCTGAGCATCGGAGAGGACCTGAACCAAGTCTATTGATCCCTGTACCTGAGGAACATCGTTCCCTAAACATGGATCCACCCTTAAGGACATACGCCAAAGTAGCAAAAACTTCAAAAAAAGTCTCGTTCCCTTCTCTACCCAGGCAGGTCACTGGGGGGGAGTGGTTGCGGCGGCTTAGCCTTCATCAGTTCCCCTAGTTACCGACCGAGCCTGCCACCAGCGCCAGCGGCGCAAGCAAATACTCGTCCCGAGACCAGAGTGACGAGTCAACTCTACAGTATTCTTACTTATCTCTCAACTTACGTTAACCACCACAGCTGTGGCATTCTCGCATTCTTTTGTACTAAAATCATTATTATTGACGTTGACTGAATAAATATAGTTTATTATAAATTATCTAGAATCTAAATAATCTATGTGAGACACCCAAATCTCCATACCTAAATCGACCGTGGCGCCAACCCTCCCATGGGGCACTTACTATTTCAACTTGGGGTCACCTGCCCCTACAGAACTGAGCCCCTACTTCAGTCAATCCTCCTTGAGTCCACCACAGCTGTGGCGTCTCATCTCTTTTGTATTAAATAATTAATAATAAGTGTTTGGACTGAATAAATATAAGTTGTTTATTGTGAACACATCTTCATTTATGTGAGACCTAACTCATCTCCATATCCTTCACGTACTGTAACCACGGATGAAGTTGTCTGCACATGCGCAACTAAAGAACATTGCAAAAAGTATCCAAATGATACTATTCGAAAGGCTTCTCTAACCTTGAAAGTCTCAAAAATTTCACCGCATCTTGACAGTGTTTTTAAACTTCCATCCCTACAAAACTTCTGTACATCAATTTTTAAGTGAGGAGGCGATTGCTCGCCGTGTGCAATTTTGCCAAGAACTTCACAATTTTTTTGAATCCAAGGAAATGAAGGCACAGAATATCATCCTCTCGGACGAAGCATATTTCTACTTAGGTGGCTTAGTAAATAAACAAAATTTTCGCTTTTGGGGGACTGAGTCACCTTACTTTATTGAAACCAAGTCCTCACACTCGAAAAAAGTCACTGCATGGGCGTCAATTACAATAAAATGTATTTTCTTTGAATTTATTGAGAGTCCGACAATCAGTCCTGACATTTACTGTGAGTTCTTGAAGAAGAACTTCATTCCTTGGGCACGACAAAATCAGTCAAGAATTTCTACTTCATGCAAGATGGTGCCGCCCCGCACAGGACTGCTGGAGTATTTGAAATACTTTTTTCCGTTTACGGCACTCGTGTGTTGGGCTAAATTACCCTAAATATGCCCATGGGGGCATGGAATGGCCGTCTTACAGTCTGGACTTAAATCGCTGCGATTTTTGCTTATGGGGTTTTCTCAAGGACAAGTGCTACGAGAAGCATCCGACGACGGTGGGAGAGTTGCAAGACGCAAATAGAGATGCTATATATCCGAGCTGTTGATAAAAATACAATACAGTGCATCTATACCAGTTTCGAACTCAGGATAGAGTTTTCTAGTACAAGTGATGGCGGACACTTGGAAGGAATTGTATTGTAATTTACCGAATGTTCCTTGTACAATAAAAAAAGAACAATTATTTACATTTTACTGTATCCAAGTTATTTGCAATTTACTTTGGTCACATGCTATGGGACACCCTGTATATTGAATTCAATGGCTGAGGGAAACTCTGGAGTATAAATGAATTTCCTTGGACAAATTCATTCAAAACCGTCCACAAACAGTTATCATCTTGGTCCCTTGTAAATCACTAACCAAATAATCATGCAATAAATCTATTCAAAACGCTTAACTGGATCAATCAATTTATCCATCTAACTAGAAGTAATCAAATAATGAACACCAGAATTGCGGTCTTTTTTTTATTGAAAAAAAGAGAAAAAAATTTGTTACAGAACAAAGAAATCAGGGAATTTATTCATTATATCTATCTCCAAGCACCTACTCTGAGAACAGCTGAAACAGTTCGAAGTGAGCATTCTAAAAAATTAGCCCGTCTGTTTCCATTCGAAGACAATGCAGTACGATCAATAACATTCCCAACGATTTTCATTTAATTCATCAATATCAGAAGTAATTAACTCTTTCTACCTATCAATACATACATACATACATTGTTTAGACCTAAAGCTTCTTGTATAAAATGCATCGTGCGGGGTCAACCGACTTGGAGGGGGAGGGGGATGAGGGCACAGTCCAGATAATGGACAAATTAACTTAATTTCATTTATTTTAGCAAACGTCAACGGCGATAACAGGCATGATGAGTTTGTCTTCTTCTCTCTCAATAATGCGTGTGAAATTCATCATTATTTTTTCAATTGATTTAGTGTTTCTCATTTAGCGAAGTATTTATATAAATAGAATAATCATTAGACGCTGCACGTCGTCGACAGAAGAATGACAGAGAAAAAAATTGTTAGATTCGAATGATTTCATAATTTTTCTCGATCTTCATTCGTACAAATAGAAAGAAATGATAAATGACAACCTACCAATTAGTGGCAGTATTCTTCAACGCAGTGTGAGTGTACAATTTCAGTGTTTGTCATTAATTTTTCCGTTATTCTTTTGGATTATTATGAAAATTTAATTAGCAGCGATAACAGCGGCCGCTGCTGATGATGAGGATTTTTTCTTGAGTACGATGTCCTTTAAGTTGAGATTGACCTTCTCTTTGCGTGGCGGTGGCACTGACTGCAGACAGAAACGCTTGAATGCCTCCAATTCACGCTCAGCGTCGTCCATTTCACCGTCCTCTATATCTTTTGGGGTGAATACGCTTTCTGGAAAAGACGAGCTCTGAATACTACGGATTGAGGGGAGGATATTCATCGATTGTTTTCAAGAATGATGAATTCTATTTTTTCGGTTTATATGATTTGTTGTTGGAGAGGTGGTTTGTTCGCCGAGTTCTTATTGTCTTGAATAATTAATTTCAGTTGCGACTTGTGTAATTATCTGGACTATGAGTGGGTTTGAGAGAGAACGTCAAAGTATGTTTCTTGATGATGAGAAGATCTTCCATGGAAAGACTTTCTCGAAATTCTCTCCTAAAAATACTCATCAGCATGATATAGTATATTTCTAACCACGGGAAGTAAAATAAAGGACCCTCAGCCGCGTGCTTACCAACCTCGCCTTCGGCTCGGCTGGGAATTGCACTGGCAGCTGAGGGTCCTTTATTTTACTTCCCGTGGTTAGAACGCGATTTTCCGTCTCGGCGTAGGCGCAAAGTCAGAGTTCCCTCCCGCGAAGCGGGAGGGAAATGTAACTTTGCGCCCGCCGGGACGGAAATTCTATTTTTCTTTCCATTCAATAGTGAAGTGGTAAAAGGAGATTGATCCGAAATGTAGTTACGAATATACTTGGAACGATAAGATTTAAAGAACAGTGTCAGAACATCTCTCGATTAATTGTCGTGAATCTCTAGACTTTTTCAAGAATTTGTAGATTACTTAGAAAATGTTTTCGGATGATGTATAAAAAGGGATTACAAAAAAATGGCCCTTTCGTTCGGTCACCTTAATTAATTTTTATTGGAATTCTATTAATTTTCAGCGAAATTCTTGTGCATGAATTCTCCGAGCTTTTCCCGCTGTATTTTTTTTATTTATAACTAAATAATCCAAGACGAAAAATTGTGAAAATCAGGCTCAAAAATTTTAACAGGAAAAATCTTAATCAGATAAGTTGTATATAGAAATTAACATCTACTGACTGTAGTATCAAATATGTCTATTAAAAGAAGGCATGGGAAGATTGCATTATTTTTCAATGCAAATTCGCAGAAAACCAATAGAATTTACTATAATATCCTAATTTGTTCAGTGAAAGTTCAATGGCAATAGAATTCAACCAATGCGTTAGGTTTTCAATTGAATTTTTTCATACGTGATCTAGTGCAGTTGAGCGAAAAATCTCAAGAGATTGTTTAGTAGACAATTCCAAGGTATGTATTATACATCTTTCTGTAAATCCTCCAAATATCCGGGAAATAATCCATACAAAACTCTCACCTTATCATGTCCCCCTCCACTTCTCTAGAGAACTAACCAAACTAATTAATGAATGTGTGATTCTTTCCGTTTCCATTCATCTAAAAATTTAGCAACCAACGTTCAACTCAAATTGGGAGTAATATTGAAGAACTCCACAAAACAAAAAATATATATATAGATATAATCAGTACAGGAAGAAATATAATCAGTAAGAATAAAAAATAGTTGTTCTGTTGTTGTTTCAAAAAATAAACATTACCAATTTATTAAGTATTCATTATTAAGACCTAATATCACAAAGAAGTATCCCTGCCACTGTTAAACAGTATATCAAGTATATCTCCATAGGTTCTGAGGTCACAGAGGTGAATTACAAGTAATGTAAGGTAAAGTAAATTAAATTAAGTACTGGATGAAGAGATGTTGCTACAAACAATGAGAGAGAAGAAAAATGTCGGAAAAATGAGGCTATTAAATGAAATAAAAATAAGTTCAGGTAAAAATCTAAAACTTTAGAAAACCTACATCCTAGTTCCAAGTATTTCTCTTAATATTTAATCAATTGATAACAGAGAGCTCAAGTGATCAAGTCCAGGGAAAGTGAATAAAAAATCTATTAATTTATATTATTTATTTCTCACCAACGAGATTCCAGTCATCGCCGCACTGTCTCGTACCATTCCCCTTTTTCTTCTTCTTCTTTCCTTTTCCACTAGTAGTTGCTTGACTCTGTTGTATATCTTCACATTTTACTGGATCTGGTGTTTTAACTTTAGTCAATGTAACACTGGTACCTTTCAAATTAATTCCATTCTCTGGTATCGGTTGTCCATTTGTTACTTTGCTTATTTGAATGTTAGCGAGACCCTGAATACCAGTATAATCTGGTGTCAAACGACTTCTTAATTCAGCGAGACTCGATGGTATAAGACCATTTGCACTTTTGCTTGCTGTTGGTGGCGATAATAGTGATGTTCTATTACCACTGGCCCCTGTCAAATCACCTTTTACGATAAAATCCGGTTTTGGTGGTGGTGTTAAGCCCGCGTTAATTGCTTGCTGTAGTGCTGGACTTCTTATCGTCACCATTCCATTCTCCGATACTTTTATTATTGCTGCCTGTTGAGTTGGCTCCATCTTCGGAGATGGAGCAAATGCTGGGTTCCGAATTGTGACCATGTTTGTAGCTGGATTGTGGAGGATCTTTGCCTGGTCAGTTTGGGAGTCGTTTGATGATTTATTCGAGGATTTTTGAGAGTTATTGGTAGCGTTTGATGAGTTGTTCTTCTTCTTTTTCTTCTTACCAGACGTCGTGTTGGGTTGAGGCTGCTGATTGGATCCTGTGGAAGAGAAGGAATCATTAATAAATAAGGACAATGTTATTTTCGATGGTTATGGTTCCAATGTTGTAGTAACAATTGTACTGTTGGACACTAATTTAAAAAACAACAGCAATGGGAAAAATTCCGCGATTGGTGCGGCGACAATGATGTAATTTCATCTAGATAAACATTTGCTGTTAGGTGTATTTCAAACTTGAATGATTCTAGCGACTTTTTTTAATCGGGAAACATTATTTTTTCTTTCGCAACGTTTTGGCAGGGCTCCGAGAATTCTGCGTCGTAGTTGAAAATTTCTCTATAAACTGACATTGTCATTTTTTTGTCGATTAATCAACTATCCACATAGTGATCACACTCAATTATGCTTAGCTTTTCATAGCTGTTTAGGCTTAACTTTGTAGGTTTGATATCTGTAAACTAGGGTAAACAGGCCAATTGCTGAACGGTTAAGGGAAATTCAAGATTCGTGGTAGGATCTACATTAAAAGAATCACCTAAATGGGGATATGATGGCTTCCATACTTTCAAGAATGTTTTAATTAGCAGAAAAAAATTATTTGAAGTGAAAATAACAAAATAAAGAATAATTAAATTAAGAAATAGTTGAATGCAGCCGCAAGCCCCTAATTTCTGGACGACTGGACCATATTTTTTTTGCTTATTAAATATCGATCAATAGAAAAAATAATTGATCACATGATTAAATACGAGTAGTATTATTGAAAAGTGAAATAACCAGTACAATTTTCATTTTATTTATGAAATATTTAATGCAAGGTGAAATCGTCCAGAAACTACCCCTCCCCCCCTCCAGAAATTGACCTGTTTACCCTATATTACACCATACTATTTTCGCAATTTTAGATGTTACAATGCAAGTAAACTCAGAATTCATAATAAAGTGATAGAAATAACGAATACTGAAGACATGATTCAACACATATTTTCGAAAAATATCAAGGCACTTTCCGTAGACCATAGAATTCACTTGAAAACGATTTCTTAAAAAATTCAGTTCACCTTGTAAAGATATTTACAACATTATGTGCAAATATACTTCAAGTCTTAATCTCCATTTCACTTCTAAATCGAAGAAAAATATATTGAAGAAATGAAACTCATCAACGGTCATTAATCTTCATTAATAAAAAATAATAATTCGGAATCTAATAAAATCACTTGGTGGCACAAAAGTTTCCAATATTTTCCACAAACTACCCAGACATAAAGAAATTCCAAATTCAACAATAACAAAATTAGTACTGACTCGATAGAACAGGATTCAAGGAAGATGTCATAAATATTTGGAATAAATTTTTTGTAACTCTCATTTCCCTCTGCAAAGAGGTATGCCACCGAAATTTTTCTACCTCGGCTACATTTCAAGGTGTTCCTCAAAAATTCAATTTGAGACTAAATAAATCATTAAAAACGTCCTTCTCAACCTCACAAGTTACCTTTTTCCGAGCCCTTGGGTAGCAGTTCCTGCTTCAGCTTGCCAGTGTCCACAACGATGACATTGCCTCCAGACTGTGACCCACCGTAGTTCGACTGTAGCCCAGTCATCGGAGCTGCAATAATCGTTGCCTGCTTCTGCTGTGCAGGCTTCTGCAACGGTGCCGACTTAATGGGAAGTGGCTTTGCTGGTGCATCGACTTTCGTTATCGTAATGCCAGGCGGTAATTTGAGATTCTCAATATTAATCTTGGAACTTGCGTCCTTGAGCTGACTTCCAAGCGATGACGTCAATCCTTGATTATTGCCATCTGTCCGAGGTTTCGAGGTAGCTTGATTACATTTCCCTTGATTCTTCTGATTATCCACCTTAACCGTTTGCTTATTATTGCCTGAATTATTGTTCTTCCCCTTTGAAGCTGCCTGCTGAGTGTTCTGATTAGTTTGAGCGTTCTTCTCCTGCTGCTGACCCTTTTTCTTCCCACAAGGGACTGAAGCCGTCTTCACATTCTGCTGACTAGTATTTACCGTTTTACTCTCGGTCAACGGTTGAGACTTGTTCTTTTTCTTTCCTGTGCTTTCCTGCTGTTGAGTCTTTCCCTTTACCTGTTGAGTATTCGTACTACTCAGCTGCTGAACCACCGGTTGCTTATTCTCCACATTATTCTTATTCTTCTTCGACTTTTTGTTCGAAACTTCGACGTTCTGTTGTTGCTGTTTTTTCTCCTCACTCTGTTTTCCACTATTCTTTAATTTTTCGTTTACTGGCTGCTGTTTAGAGTTCTTCGGATCATTTTTAGCAGGTTGAGATTTCTGATTCGGTTGATTCTGTTGGGTTTTTCCTTGCTGCTGCTGCTTCTGCTGATTAGTATTATTAAGGCTGTTATCCCCCCGTTTATTCTTCTTTTTCTTCTTCGTTCCAGAAGCCTGAGTCTCGACTTTGCACGGCTCCTTCGTCTGGCCATTCACCAAAGTAAACAAAACCTTGTCCTCAGCTGGAGTTTGACCCTTCAAGGTTATCGTCACTGTTGGCTCAGCCCCATTGGACTCCATGACTCTCTTGATGGTGACAATCTGCGGGGTTTCGACTTGTGCAGCTTGTTGCTTAGCTTTCTCCTCCTCCATGGCTCTCATTGCTCTTCGCAATTTCTTTCTTTCCTTCTTGGTAAGGGGAACCTCAGGCTCAGGCTCTGGCTCAGGCTCTGGTTCGGGAGGGGGTGGGGCTTTCTTCTTCCCTTTCGACTTTCCTTTAGTCTGCTGAGGATTTTCGTTATTACCTTTAGGATTCTGCTTCGATTTAGCAGTATTAGAGGATGTAGAAACGGTCTGGGGAATGGGATTTTGTTGTTGTTTCGTTTTAGAGTTCTCCTGTTTATTTTTTTTAGCAGGTTGTTGTTTCTGTGGCTGAGGCATCACAGCTGGCAATATTGATATTTCTGGTAGGTCTCTGTTATGCAAAAATTTCTGAGTCACGGGTTTCTGTGGATCCACCACTGTTATCGTTACCTCAGGAGTCTTCTTCTGGAGTTCAATCAGTTTCTGTCGTTCTTGCTCGTGTTTCTTCAATTTCATAACTTCCTCCAGTTTTTTCTGCCGCTGTCTAGCCTTTTTCTCACTTCGCTTATTATCCTTTTTGTTTTTACCAGGTTGACTACCCTCAATAAACTCCAATAGGGCATCGAGATCCCTCTGATCTCTTTGCTCAGGTAAATTGGTGGAAGCAACCGAAACAGGTGTATTTGACCTCGCTCCCGAGTGTATCGACATTGAATTATGATCAGAAGTTGCATTGGAAGATGGTACAGACTCAGCTGGACTCATAGGAGGACTACACCCAGCCTTACACTTCTTCGCCTTCTTCTTGGTCAATAACTGCCTCAGTCTCTCCCTCATCTCATTGTAATTACGACTGACAGGCGCTACCGAGGGTATACCATGACCAAACACCTCACAGTAGCAACAGTCACAATGTCTACTCGAATCCCTAGGTATTGAGCTACTAGTAGAACAGGAATCCTCGTTACTACTTCCTGAATCCGAGCAGTCGCCATCAGTCTGGCTGAACTCACTCGATGTGACTCGTTTTATGTGTTCCACGTCAGTCTGTTTCTGGCAAGAATGGTTACTATGAGTATTATGGTTCGTGTGACTATGGGGCCGATGAGTTGAGGGTAACGATTTAGAATTATCTGAGAGAGATGCATGAGAGTGCCCATGGGTGGGACATCTCTCGGAGTGTCCATGGTTATGAGGTGTCGATGGGGTCTGCGTCGTCGAATGCCTCGTCTGAGTCTGAATAGAAGCAGACTTGACGGTATTCGGTGGTTTGACAACTTCTACAATTTCCTTTGGAGGAATCAGACTCGAAGGACTCTCGGATTTCGACTTTTTCCTCCCACTGCGCACCCTGCTGTCCCGCAAACAGGGACACGCACTCTCGGGTAAGTGCCTCATGTACAACATGCAGAGACAGGGAGGAAAGGGAAGGAGACCCCTCCAGGATGAGCCCTGCCATTCTCCAAGGTGTCTGTAGATGCAGATGCAGCCCCTTCGCTTCTCCTCACTGGGTCTCTTCTCAGGTGGGTCTTCCACTTCGGGAGAAGTGGAGATTTTGCCGTTTGGTTGGAGGGTGGGGTGTGCACAGGCTCCTGTTTTTGTGCGTCCGTTGACGACAAGATAGGACACCCAGGAGGAGTCGTTGCATGTCGGACAATCTGTCTCGATTTGGGTGGCATGGTCGGTGGGTCGAGAGAGGACTAACCACGCTGCTACTTGGTAGCCAAAGTAGAAGCCTGGATCATCAATTGGACGCCCTTTCAATCTGTCATCCTCTTCGTCATCCAGGAAGAGGGTGTAGACCCCTAGATAACCCTGAGCCATGATCTGGTAGACCTGTTTACCCCAAGCATCGAGGATCTTTCGGACTAGGTCAATTACGAGCGTATCCTCGATCACTTCGAGCTCTTTGTCAAATAGCGCACCCCGCAGGAACTCTTCCAGGCCTACACCTGGAACGTCCAGGGTTCGAGACTTGTCCACTTTCTCAATTTCACTCACTGTACACAGAGTCCAGTCTCGTTTACCAATTTTTCGATTCCTCATTATTTCAGCCACTTGTTCAGCGGAATATTTGTCGATCAGGTGTTCTTTTTCGGGCCAAAGACCTGCTATCCCCATCATTTCATCCACGAAAGCCAGGTAGCGCTTCAGGAGGACTTCGAAACCCTTTCCCTTCCGGGGCTTGCGAAGCTGACCGACTACTGAGGGGAGAATGTCGCGGATTGTTGGCTCGTAGAAGTAGATGTAATTTTGGTAGAGCTTTTTGTTGAAGAACTCCCAAGTGAGGTTGAACTTATTCAGGTGACGCTCTTCCAGGGGCTTTATCAGCTCGGAGACCTGGACTGCTGTGGCGATCAGGATGTCGTAGCCGTTCAACAGTCCTGGAGGGAGGAGAACGAGAAATTGGAATTAGATGTAGAATGGTAAAGGGTTATCTCAATATTTTTGCTTCCGAATAGAAGCTTTGCAATCGCACAAATTTAACTTTCCAATTTTTTTAGTTAGGGTAACTAAATGTGCGCTAAGAAGTTCAGATATGCGATTTTTAGATGGTGTCTGTTAGCATGCATATGTGTATGTATGTGGTCTTTTTTCTTCATGTTTTTTTCTTGATATTTTCTCAAAACGGATCGATCGAATTTCATGAATTTTTTCATGAATATAAACTTTACTAAGGTCTATTAATTGACACCAATAAAATTTTTATTTTTGATCAAGATTTGAAAAAATTAATATTTCTTCAATCAATTTATTCATTGTTTCAGCTTACATAGCTTTTTACAACGGAGATAAGAGTCTGACAGTCGAATTAACAATATACACTCCATATCAATGTTTTCTTGACGATGACAAACGTACAGAATAAAAATATGCCTTCATGTACAGAATAAAAATACTGATTTAATATAATTGGAATGTGTTAACAGGTAGATTAAAAATTCACTTGCTGGCATAACATGGACATTTTAACAACAAGTCAACAGTGCCACATTTGACTGATTTTGGAGAGAAAGAAATGTAACCCCATAACATCCTCTTTACTACTTGCGTTTAGCAAGTTTCGGATCATATCGGCGGAATTGTCGAGCTGCTTAATTTTCGATAACAACTTCGTTCTGCTCTCGTGGAACTTAATACAGTTGGTTATCACGTGGAATAAATCATTGTTTGTGGGTTGAGAGCAGTTCGGGCAGTACACATCATCCTCAAATCTTAGTATTTTCCTATCAATAATAATTCGCGGGTAGTGTAGTGTTAGCAGACGACATTGCGCAGTTGATTGTAATATTTTTATGGGGAGATTTAGGTCGAGATATGGCTGTCTGTGTGGCTTCAATTCTACATACGGAAATACAGGAAGAGAGGAATTTTCAAGTCTCTGACGATCGAGGTCTCTCAGATGGGTTTTATACTGATCTAGGATACTTGCAATGTTGTCCAGCAATATTCCCTCCCTACAGAGGCTGACTATCCCCGCGGGGAAATGCGGTTTTATTTTAACATCCAGTTGGGAGCACCAGTTCTATTTCGTTTTGATCTTTGGATTTGAAGAGAGATGTATTAATTTATTCAGACATAATTTAGGTAGTCTATTGGCGTCCATTGAAATGATCTTGGATAGCCAACCTAGACTTCGTTTAATTACGTCGTACTCAATTGAAATAGCGCCGATTTCGAAGCGCACTGCATAGTCGGGGCAATACTTCGGTAGATTCAGGAGTTTTTTGTAGTAAAAGGATTGTAGTTTACTTATGTCGTCAAGGTGTCTTAAGCCCCATACTTCAACGCCGTAAAATAAAACACTTGCGGCAAGCGCTTTGAATAAGTGTTCCTTCGTAGTCCATGAGTCAGAGACCGATACAGAATGTTGAGGATGGATTTAATAGCACCATGTGTGGATGCCTTGGCTTTATTTAATTGAGGGGTAAACAGGCCAGATTTGTAAAATATACAGCCTAGATAGCAAAATTCATCAACAATCTCTAGGGTCTCACCCTCACATAAGAAATTTAAGTTTTTCGGGGTTCTACCCTTGTGCATAATTAATATTTTCGATTTCGATATGTTCATTTTTAAGTGGTTGCGTTCAAAGTAAGAGGATGCAATTTTTATTTTCATTTTCGTGTCTGGGGGACTTTCCGCAAAAATAACCAAGTCATCTGCATAGGCAATGCAGATGACTTCGTTTCTATGATCAATCGAGAGGCCCCTGGCATTGTTATCTCGTAAATACTGCTCAAAATCGGCTATGAAAAGGGAAAAGAGGAGTGGGCTGAGGATTTCTCCTTGCAGCACTCCTTCGGTGATATCCACAGGATGGGAAAGTCCCGTGCTGGTACGGACTGAGAGTTTAGCTCGCTCGTAGAGACTCTTACAAATGTTAATGAACTTGGTACTTATGCCTAGTACTCTGAGCTTTTTCCATAGCAAAACATGAGCTACCGAATCGAATGCTCTTTGAAAATCAATAAATAGTGCGAAAATTTTCCTACCAGGCTGACTCAGGTGAATTTGAACTAAGGCGGAGAGGACGAAAATATTATCCAGACAACCCCTTTTTTTCCTGAACCCATTCTGAAACTCCGGTAGTTTAGAATTGTTCTCGGCCCACTTAATTAGTCTGTTCTGGAGGATTTGAGTAAATATTTTTGTAATGGAATTTACCAGTGATATACATCTGTAGTTAGATGGGTCATCAATGTCGCCTTTTTTGTGGATCATTGAAACGTTTAGTATCGTCCACTCCTCGGGTACCCTTTCCTGATCAAGGATCTCATTGAAGAAATCTTCTAAAAATAGAATCCAGTTATCTGGTAGATATTTAAAGAATTCATTACTTATTCCATCCGGTCCCGGAGATTTTCCCTTTTTGCAATTGCTTAGGCTCAATAGGATTTCTTCACAGGAGATGCGTTGATCAAGTTCGGGGACTCCTATTCCAATAGATAAAGGGCTACTTATACTGCGTAGAGGGAGCAGTTCCAAAAAATATTTCTGCCATGCCTCAGGGGTGATACAATTTTTTTTGTAGGTTTTAGGCCTGAGTCGGTTCACTGCAAGCCAAAATTGCTGATTATTTCGAGAACTTCTAATCGCTAGTGTGATATCTTCAACGAATTTTTGTTCTTTGCATTTGATTAGGTCGGCGTATTCTTCCTTAGCTCGTTCATATTCGTCTATCTCGATACAATTAGTGAAATTTGATTTTTTACATATTCTCAAGTGTTTACGAACCCCCCGCCTAGCCAGAGCGCACTCAACGTCATCCCAGGGTTTTTTGAAGTTAAAGTTGTTAAGATGACTCTTTTTAATCAATCCATTGTTCGTAGCTACATTTTCTATAGAGTGTATAAGGATTCGATTCATCTCATCAACGTCTTTGGGTTCTAATATACGAATGTCCTGATTAATAAGCATTTGCTCGATGTAGCGATCTTTCAAGGAATCAACCCAGATGTATTTGTTTACAGAGGGAGTGGGGGATTCGGTATTGCAGATGTAGGAATTTAAAGTTATCGGGAAGTTAATCGGGAAGTGATCAGAGCGTGTTGGGAAATCCATAACTTGAAAATTTTTGATAATATTAATATAGAACCAATTACATAAGCCATAATCAATCGTACTGAAAACTTTTTTATCCTTAAGATTTTTATTTTTTCTATGAAAAGTGAATTGACCTGGCGTATCCCCTGGAAATCTCCCATTTAGTATGATTAGGTTCGACTTTATTGCAAATTCAAGTAAACTTCTTCCCCTTGTATCCGGTGTCTTATCTAACATATCACGCTCTCGGGAGATGTTGTCAGTTTCGATGAACAAACTACTTTCCAGGCAATTAGAATTACCGACCTTAGAGTTGAGATCGCCAACAATAAAGGTCGCAGAGAGAGGATTTCGCAAATGTATCAGCTCTAAGACATTTTTCAGGGAAGATAAGGACGTTTCAATTTTATTTTCATGGGAGAAATAGCATAAGAGGACATTAAAGATGAGATTAGGACTGATTATTTCGGCAGCAATAATTTCGAATTCATTGTACAAAATATGATACTTATAGTAGTTTTTGTGAAGAGCTAGAAGAAGACCTCCTGGGGGATGACCTTTCTTGTTGGTTTCTCTCGCGTTGTGGAAGATGAGATGATAGTCAGCAAGCCAGGCAGGAGCGGGGTTCAACGGTGTTTTCAACCAGGTTTCGGTGAAGCCCAGTATATCTGACTTTTGGATGTGTGGTGGTATTTCCCAGTTGTTGTTATTGAAGCCATGTATATTCCAGGCAATAATACGGATATCACTGTCCTCTCGCACATCCGTTTGTCGATTACCAAGGCCCTGATTGTGGGAGCAGGATGGAGTAATGTTCTTCTCCCACTCTTTTCGTTGCTACTTCCGAGGAGCTCCCGATTTTGAGGAATTCATCATACTGCGGGTGCGAGGGATCCCTTGATTGGACTGACTTTGGGATGACTGTAGAGTGAGAGAGGTATTAGACGTGAAATTTAGTTTACCTCCTCGAGATTGTTTCTTATTATTGCCTCCCGTGGTGTTTTTGCTGGGGGTCGATACACTCGATTCAGCGTTCGAAGGTGAGCTGAGTAATGTTGATATCTCGGTAGCCAGAGTATCTGATCGCTTTGAGGCCATTCGTAAATATTTTTGAATTTCAGGGTCTGTACAATTCTCAAGTAGAGAGGCCAGCTCCTCATCACTCACTGGTTTTTCGTCGATCAAGATTTCATTGCCCTTTATCTTTGCTTCAGTGCCACTTTTCCTCAACTCGAAACGAATTTTCAATAACGTTTTGTTTCGCGCTTTCTTCAACACTTAAATCATTGTCTATGGTAATATTTTGTTCCCTCAGTTTATGTGCACACTTGAAAAACTCTTTTTTCCACCGTGGGGCTATCAGTTTCACTAGAATTGGTCTGTTTCTGTTCTGTACGGGCTTGCCAAGTCGAAAGGCAGCCACAATGCACACATCAGGTGCATTGATCCCCACATTTTGAATTATCGAAATCACTGTTTCACGAGTGTTTGTATTATTATCACTGACATCAGGCACTTTATACAGAATCAGATTGCAAGCGCGATTATCACGTTCGAGTTTAGCCAGTTTAGAAGCGTTGGCCTTAGAGAGTTTATTTGTTGATGCTTGATTAACTTCCATGGTTTTCTGATCTTTTTTTAATGTTCTCATTTCGGCCATCATTTCTGTATGGTTTTTATTCATGTCTTTAACTTCCTCCCTGAGTTCTGACAGGGTTTTTGCAATGTCACACAGATTGGGTTTCACAGGGGTCATAATTTGAAACACTATAAAGCTTTATATAAAAAAAAAAAAAAACGACGATAAGAAAAACACATTCGGAGGGCTAATCACAAA